TTCATACTGTAATAACTGTCTCGGGCAATAGAAGATGTACATCTCTATGGAATGATACAGGAAATAAAAGGATTTTGTACAAGAAAGAAGTTGTTTTAACTCTTAGTCAAAAGTAAGCTGAATCCTTACTTGTCACAAAGCTGAAATTTTTTGCACTGTTTGCAAACCCAACGATTTCCAGACACCATTAGAATGCAGCAGTGTGTGCATGCATGCTGCAAGTGAACCATGATAAAATCCTCTTTCATTGGACTAATTGTCTCACCAAGCTACAAAAACAAAGATTTTCCTAAGAACCAAAAGAGAAGTGCTAGAAATGGCTTGTTCTTTAAGAATACAAATGTTGAGAGAAAAAACTCATGTAAAGAGGAAAGGGGGCATTGGAAAAAAAAACATAAACTTTCGAACTGCAATTAAAAAGGCTTTACAATTCCCGGTCAAAGTAAAAAAAGAAAAACAAAATAGCATGAAAAAAGCAAAACGAGAACCGCTGCAAAAGATAACAATACTATCTATTTGGATTTAGTAAATGTTCAAAATATACTTAATAACTGCAGAAATTTAAAAATGGAAGAGGACCAATGTAAGTATTACTTATAGGAACTCAAAATGAGGAAGAGGACCAACGTAAGAAAGAGAGTTTGAACAATAGAATTACTTTATGCATCAACATCAGGTCCTTTGATGCATTCCCAGAGAGATCAGTTTGGCCAGATGCCTTTAAAGCTCTTTTTGTAATGGTCTTTTTAATAGTTCCCTTCTTATGGTGTTTTTTCCCATCCTCCTCTTGTTGTAGTTGATAGATCATGTCCTCTGCAGCACCTGGCCAATAATCTCCATCAAAATATGGCAACCGAGCTGCAGTCACCTTTGCCTTACTTTCACCATTAGATAGAAAGAAATGATCATATAGATTAGTAAGCTCAACAACGATATTTTCCTTTGTGGCTTTTCTTAACATGGACAAGTACCTGCAATCGGAGACATAAATTAATTCACAACTAAAAACATCAAAAATATTAGCACGCTCCTCATAATGCATACAAGAAGTGCTTCATGTCAGACAGTTGTCAATCTTACCACTCTCGGAGTTTATCAGATTTTGGTGTCTTCTGAATTTCAGGATGGCAATATAAAATATAGTCCTCGCCCTTCAATGGTGGGCAAGCCCATATGTAGCAGCTTGTGAACCCACGCAACTTGCAATATTCTAAATATCCAATCTGGAAACATAATAGAAATTATCATCAATGGTGTTGATACAATGAATGGCAAAAAGAAACTGCCTAGAGTAATCTGTGAAGAATGACAAATAAGAGCTAATGGAGTCAAAAACTTGCCAAAATCTCATGGTACACAAATGTACGAAGAGCCTCTCCCGTCACTGCTTTGAGCTCTGGTCGGAAGTACTTGACAGAATCTAGATACGAAAGATAGACTCGG